TGTCTGTTGCCACTTTTTCTCAGCTCTCACTGGACCGATTTCTTTCAAAAATACGTCAAAAGATCACAAATCGTATCTAGTTGAAGACATTACCCTTAAAAATTGAAAAAAATTCCCTCGTTCCCCGCAAATGGGGGAAATATCCAAAAAAATTACAAATTTAAAAATCGCTAATTTTCGAAATTTTTTCACTTTTTTTTCTTAAAACTTTCATAACTTTTTGAAAAATCAATAAATCAACATAATTTTTTTTTATACTATAACCTTAGATATTTCCCTTTCATTTGATATCATTTTTTTGAAAATCTAGCACTTAAGCTGCTCATTTGGGGGGATTTAAAATAGTAACTTTTTTACAAAAANTGCTCATTGGGGGGGATTTAAAATGGCAACTTTTTTACAAAAACTAACTTTTTCAACTTAATTTTTGAAAATGTTCCCGAAATACTGCGTCCTTCAAACATATATCAAATTAAAGCTTATTTTAAGTACTATAAAATGAAAAAAAAAAATTTGTCCCGACACTTTTTTTTCTACATTTAAACGGCTGCCGTAGTTAAAAAAACACTATTTTTGTGTTAAAATTTTCGATTTTCGATTTTAAATTTTCAACTTAAAAATGCTATAACTTTTTGAAAAATGTATATATCAGCACAAATTTTTTTTTTCTAAATACATTATAAGTACATCTTTCATTTGACATACTTTTTATTAAAATTGGACAATTTTCCATTATACAGGGGGCGTTCATAACTTAATATATTGTAAAAAACATAGATCTTTTTCAACTGAACTTTTGAACTTTCTAATATTTATTCTGCTCACTGGGAGGATTTAAAAAAAATAACTTTTTCAACTTAATTTTTGAAAATGTTCCGGAAATACTGCGTTCTTTAAACATATATCAAATTAAAGCTTATTTTATGTACTATCAAATGAATAAAAACAAATTTGTCCCGACATCTTATCTTCTATGTGCAAATGGCTGTCGAAAATTTAAAAAAAAATGTTATGTTTGCGATAAAAATTATCTTTTATCTGGATGTTTTTTGTACTTAAAACTTCCATAACTTTTTGAAAAATGAACAAATAAAAATAATATTTTTTTGTATTGAAACCTTAGATATTTCCCTTTCATTTGATATAATTTTTTTGAAAATCTGCTCACTTATTCTGCTCACTGGGAGGATTTAAAATAGTAACTTTTTTACAAAAAATAACTTTTTCAACTTAATTTTTGAAAATGTTCCGGAAATACTGCGTCCTTTAAACATATATAAAATTAAAGCTTATTTTATGTACTACAAAATGAAAAAAAAAAATTTGTCCCGACGATCTATCTTCTATACGCAAATGGCTACCATATTGAAAAATATACTATTTTTGTATGATAATTATGGGTTTTGTATTTTATTTTAATAGAAGTTGATGTTGCTTTTGCAATTATCCATCAATTTTTTAAAATTAAACACTATCTACAGATTTGCATCGAAGCGTTTCTTATGATAGTGATTTTAATCACTGTCAGATTAAATCTATACTGAACCCAACTATGCAATGTCTCCACTATGCCGCGACCCCACTGTGCTACCGTTTTTTTTTCTTTTATTTATTATTTTATATGTAATTAGTAATAATATAAAAAAACCCAGCACAGTGAGGTGACGGCACAGTGGGGTCGTGGCATAGTTGGGTCCAGTATAGATGATATCTGACAGTGATTAAAATCACTATTATAAGAAACGCTTCGATGCAAATCTGTAGATAGTGTTTAATTTTAAAAAATTGATGGATAATTGCAAAAGCAACATCAACTTCTATTAAAATAAAATACAAAACCCATAATTATCATACNAGAAAAAAAAAAAAAAAAAAAAAAAAAAAAACACATCATGGTAAAATTAATACCTTCTCAGCTTCGCATAGAATCTAATATACATGTTTACATAACTAAATATTTATACTAATAACACTCCCGCATTAAAATTAAAAAAATGTCCAATAACAAAATATTGTTGAAATAAATTAATTATCATTGTGATATTGTGCTTTCGCATAAGAATAATTATTTTTTGTAAACTGTGAATTAATATAGAAAATTGGAGACGTTAAAAATTGATTATTTGGACCAATTTTACCTCTTTGGGAGTTGGTTAAATCTACTAAGTACGTAGCAGATTGCATAGTACGAAGGCTGGCAAAATACTGAGGTGCTGCGGCTACGATTAAAAAATTTAATTATTTTTATTTTTGATCTGATTAATGATTGTTTTAAAAAAGTAAATTTTTATTCATATTGGATAAAAAAAAATTTGTTAAAAAAAAATGAAATTGATGAGCAAAATAAAAATCCATTTTCTAAGCTAGTAAACATAGTTATGTATCCCCATTGATTTTAATTTGGATATGCTGTAAATAATATTACCTCAGCCTACCCTGCACTTCAGAGTCTTATGCAGTTATATATAATTATATATGAACCCTTCGTGATACAACTGTTTTTAAACTAAATATTAAGAGAGAAAATTATTGGGTTCCAAATAATCTCCTCATTTTTGATAACAATTATAAATGTTTCGGTATTAAACATACCAAATAATTTTTTAATTTTCAAAAAAAACTTAGGAGTACAAGGATATTTAGAAGATCAAAAAATTATAAAACAAATATAATACCCAACCCAACCCAACACGCAATGAAAACGCTGTCAATACCAAAGTGTTTGAATAAACCAATTGTTCTATTATAGCGTCCAGACGGCAAACATCAAACATGAGTCATCATCAGAAACGCGGGTCTTTATTGCAGTATGTAAGCGTTTATAGAAATACTCAGTAACAATTTAGACTAGTGTCGTCAGCGTTTCCGACGCAGGGTCGAAAACGCGTAATGTGAAACCGGGTTTATGAAATAAAACTGTACTTATCAATAACAGGAATACATATCGTAGAGAATGCATAATATTAGTTATCTAAGAGGATGTAGGTTGGGTTAAAAATAAACTATTGAACAGTAGAAGAATTTACGGAAAGAGCGATAAAGAATAACGTTTACTATGTTAAAGTACCATACATTTTTTTTTTATTGAATAGTTTGTTATGCAGGTGGAAAATTATTATAAAAATAAATATAGTTTAAAAAAACTAAAAAAACACGCTTTTAAAGCACATCGAACTAAAAAGTTAAAAATAATTTTTAAAATAATTATTTTTAACTTTTTAGTTCGATGTGCTTTAAAAGCGTGTTTTTTTTTAGTTTTTTTAAACTATATTTATTTTTTACGTTTTAGTTTTATGTTATGATAGTAGTTACTATCAATATCATGGTTGTAACGGGTATCGGTTAATCAAGGTTCGATTCCGGGGAGGGAGTCTGAGAAACGGCTGCCGTTTCTCAGACTCCCTCCAAATAGCCCTTGTCAAACACAAATCCGTGTTTGACAAGGGCTATTTGCCAAACTGGAGCACCGAGTTGTTCACAGTGACCAAGGTCAAACGAACAGTACCGCCAACATATTATCTGGAAGATTACCAAGGGAACCCTATTCAGGGTGTATTTTACACCGAAGAGTTGAGCAGGACGCAGTATCCGGACACGTATTTAGTGGAACGGGTGTTATGCACACGCGGAGACTAGTGCTACGTTAAGTGGTTGGGTTTTGGCCCGGAACTCATGGATACCGAAAGCAGATTTTTCACGGCAATGATTGTCGACATTCAGTGCCTGGTGGCTGCCACCGACCATTCGTTCTTGGTAAAAGAAATGACTGCCATAGACCTGTTATGACCTAAGGTTATGCTCACCGAGGAAGACACGTACTCGGGGAGGGGTAGCGGCTTTTCTCTATCACATATCGACGGTCTTATGCTCAGCGTATACAAGTATACGCCCCTCGCCGGCTCATCACATATTCCGATTCCACCAGAAATTAATCATAGAAAAGCAATCATCAACCCACATAATATCGATCAGTCTTGTTTCAAGTGGTCCATTTTAGCGAGGCACGTCGGGGTTAATAATAATACACGCGTTAATCAAAAATATTTTAATGAGGAACACAGGTATGATTTCACGGGGTTGACGTTCCCCACACCTGTGTCCCAAATTAAAATATTCGAGCGACGAAACCCTAACGTGTCTGTCAACGTGTACGGCTTGGAACGGGACGATGTTAAGATGAAGTGGTTGGTGTATCCGCTAAGAGTCGCCGACAAAGAACAACAGAATCATTTTGACATGTTGTATATTGATGACTCTGAAAAATCACATTACGCGTACATTTCAAATATTTCTAAGCTTGTTCGTAAACAAAAAACCAGACACCAAGGCCGCATATACACTTGCAAACGTTGCTTCACCTGCTTTGATGATCGACCTAAAAAGCATATTCTTCGGGGTCGAGGTCGCATATCAACTTGTGTTGCTCCAACACTTGTTTGGAGCAACACAAGTTGATATGCGGCAAAAATAAACCAATTTTACCTGTTATGTTGGCAGAGGGCAGCAAGGTCGAATTTGAAGCGTGGGTAAAGACGCAACGGTTACCGTTCGTCATCTACGCCGATTTTGCTGGAGCAAACAGACGATCGTATGGGTGCATACACCAGGACTGTGCACACCCACCACCCCATGAGCTACGGGTTCATGGTGAAATCATCGGACGATGTGCCCTCCGAGCTCCTCGAACGTTACGGTATACCGCAATCACCGGTGATATACCGTGGGTCCGAGGAACGCGAAGAGGTCGCTAAGGCATTCGTGATGGCTGTAACTGAAGTGACGCGCAACATTTCTAAATTGTTGCGCAAAACCAACGTTCCTATCCAAATGTCTGTCGATGATGTGCGCAGGCACGGGGAGAAAACGGTATGCGACTTATGCCGAGCAGCATTCAAGGATTCCATCCCTAAAGTCGCAGACCACTGCCATTTATTCAGACAGACGTTGTCCAATGCGTGTAATCTGAAAGTGAAGACGGTCAATTTTGTGCCGTGCTTCTTGCACAATCTTTCGGGTTACGACGCGCATTTCATCGTCACTGAATTGGGGTACGACGACCAAAGGATTTCGGTTATACCGAATTCCGAGGAGAAGTATATTTCGGTCACGAAACACGTGACCAATAACTTCTCCATACGGTTTGTCGACACCTTCCGGTTCATGGCCTCCTCCTTGTCCACCTTGGCCGGTAACCTAATGACAACCGATTTCGTTAAATTCCGGGAAACGGCCAAGGTGTTCCACCCGGAAGATATGCCGTTGGTAACGCGTAAAGGCGTATACCCCTACGAGTACACTGATAGTTGGGCTAAATTGGACGAAACGGTACTACCACCCCGCGACGCTTTCTATAGTCAGTTGAATGAGTCGAATATCGATGACGACGACTATAGACACGCCACAGAGGTGTGGAATCGTTTCGGTTGCTCAACCCTCGGTGAGTACAGTGACCTATACCTAAAGATTGACGTGCTGTTGTTGGCCGACGTGTTTGAGAACTTTCGCGACATCTGTACTACAACATACAATTTGGACCCGGCGCACTATTATACCGCACCGGGTTTTAGCTTCGATTGTATGTTGAAGTACACCAGGGTGAAGCTGGAGCTCTTGAACGACTACGACATGCTACTGATGGTGGAACAGGGCATTCGTGGTGGGCTGGTGCAGGCCGTCAAGCACTATGCCAAGGCCAACAATCCAAAGACACCTGGCTACGATCCGACAAAACCAAACTCATGGATCGTGTATCAAGATTGTAAGTATTATATATAAAAGTACAATAATTGAGCTGTGAATTAAAAACGTTTAATGTATATAGGCAATAACCTTTACGGGTGGGCTATGAGTCAGCCCATGCCGTACGGTGGCTTCCGGTGGTATGAAGGATCAGATCCTCTGGCCGACCTCCAATTGCTTTCGGACACTGGTAATACGGGGCGTATATATGAAGTAGATGTATCGTATCCAGAAGGGCTGCATCACGAGCAAAATGACTTGCCGTTCTTGCCTGGCAACGATGTACCACAGGGTTCCAAAGAGACCAAACTCACGANGTACCACCGGGTTCCAAAGAGACCAAACTCATGGCCACTTTGAAACCCAAACAACGGTACGTCGTACACTATGTCAACTTGAAACAGGCGATCGCACACGGACTGCAAGTCGATAAAGTATATACATCGTACCTAGAGCTACTATCTATGATATTAATATGTTTGTCACATAGGTGCACCGCGTTTTAGAGTTTCAACAAAGTGCTTGGTTGAAACCGTACATTGAGTTGAACACTGAAATGCGGAAACAGGCGGCAAATGCTTTTGAAATATCGTTTTTCAAATTAATGAATAATGCCGTCTTTGTTAAGTGCACGCTCAATGGTAAAACAGTTGTGGGTTATTCGTTAAAAATTTATATTTTATAAGGAAAACCACGGAGAACATGCGGAAACGCATCCGCATTGAACTAATCTCCAGTTCCGAACGTCTAAGCAAGCTCTNCTAATCTCCAGTCCCGAACGTCTAAGCAAGCTCGTAAACCAACCAACCTTCAACGACTGTATCAAATACGGTGAAAGGTTGTGCGCCGTCATAATGGACACAAAGATTGTCAAGTTTCTCAAACCAATATACGTCGGTTTAGCAGTGCTCGACATTAGCAAGACGCTAATGTACAAGTACTTCTACGACGTATTGAAACCACATATGGCGATGCAATCGAATTGGTTTACATGGATACTGGTGAGTACAACCGTACAAAATAGAAATATTTTAGAATTTAGAAATTATTTAGTAGAAATATTTTTTATAATATTTATATATTTTTCATTTTCTCAGACTCCTTCATATACCTGCTCAGAGTCAGCGACTTCTATCAGGATTTAGCCGACAGCCCCGATTTACTGGTGTACGTGGACGCATCTAGGCTGCCCAAGGATCACCCTTGTTACTCAACCACGAGGAAGAAGACGCCTGGTCTGTTTTCAGACGAGACCGGCGGCCTCACCCTCTTTGAGATCGCTGCACTTCGTTCAAAGTGCTATGCATTTGACATGGAAGGCAGCGAATTCATCAAGTCTAAGGGGATCCGCGGACATGTCGTCCGGAACCATCTGTCTTTGGACGATTACAAACGATGTTTGTTTGAAGACGATGGCGACGATGGTGACGATGCGTCAAAACGAGCGTTGGCCGGAGACAATGCCCGTGTAGTCATCGGAGCCGTACGTGATGGTGAGATTCCACCGACATTATCACTACAGTACACTCCGTACCGACAGAACGTGNATTACCGTACACTCCGTACCGACAGAACGTGTCAATTCGTTCTTTCGAGCACGAGGTACGCACTTTACGTACAACCAAGTTGGCGCTTAACCGTTTCGATGATAAGCGCTACACGCTCGACAACAGAGTTGACACGCTGGCTTACGGTCATTATGCCATTCCATCGGAAGAAATTTAAGCAACATTAGTTTTTATAGTAATAATAAGATTGTAAAACTCTTTAAATATCCATATTGATAAATGTAAAATATATTGTATGATAAACCGTGTAATTGAATTTTATGATAAGGTTTTTGTAAATATAAGTGTTGTATATAAATATATAGTTGTAAATATAGTTTTAAGATTTTTTAATGTAATATTTTAATGAATTGAATTGTAAATAAATGTAAGTTAGAATTGATATTATAATAAATGCTTAATTAATTAAAGTAATTACCCCCTATTTATTTCGATAATACCAGATAGATTATTTTACAATAGGTATTAATAACCTATAGTAAATACTACACGTAATTTAGAAATATTTATTTATTTTACTATAATCATTAATATACATTTTATTTAGGGAAAATATAATTATTGTACGAATACAAATGAGAATATTGCAAAATCATTTTTTGACAATAATGTTACATATTATAATTCATCCATTGTTTTAAGCAAATTGCCTTGTATAAACTACACACGGTCGGGTTGTTCATGTGTCGGATACAACACATTTTTGTAACACAACTTAAATTGTACAGCGGTGAGCGGTCCAAATCCTCGACGTTAACAATACGTTGTCCCGGTATGTACTTTTCCACTACTCGCTTTTTCACAGCTTTTGAACAGTTCAGCCACAATTTATCGTTTGGAAGCACTGGCTCGAGAACTTTATTCAGTCGACGACCGTGTCTTTATACTGGAAAAACGTGTTGACACTCTTTAAATGCCTCTGAGTTTCAACAGGAGTGTAGTGCACCATCATTTGAGTGATGGCATATACTCTACGACGGAGCAACCGGATAATCGTGCGACGCTATCGCAGCAGCAACTAACAAAGAAAAATATTGAATTTTTAAAATCGTTGGGTTGTCGAGTCAATCATGGCCGAGTACTTACACGTGTTGGAAAAATGTCAGCAAGACGACAGCGTAAAACGTGAGTACTATCTAGAACATCAGAGCTACAACAACTCGTACGAACACAACGATGAATTCCGTATCGATCGAAAGTTATTTGCAAATCAAAGGAAAACTGGAAAAACCACCAGTTGGAACTGTCGGTGAAATGGTTATGGGGCAAAATTTTCTCATGCACCTATTCGATGAAATCACATTTGAAGTAAATGGTAAAGAAGTAGACAAGATAAAATACGTTGGGATGGCTACAACCATCAAGGGTTATTGTTCGCTCACACCCAACGACATTCGACGATTGCAACCTGCCGGATGGAAATATGCGCAAATTTTGCACAACAACGATTTCGTCGATGGGACTGAATTTGTAGCGCAATGTCCATTATCTATTTGCATGGGATTTTTCGAACGGTATCGGCGAACACTAATAAACTGTACTCAGACACTCGTGTTGAATAGATCGAGTACCAACAGCACTGTCGTAACAATTATTCCACAGACAACAACAACAGACGATAAAGCGCAAGTTGCAATATTGATAAAACAAATCAACGTGAAAATATCGAAAATAAAATGGGTAGTAAAGTACTTTGAACCCACCGTGAAAACTGAACTTGGTCTGATGCGTATTCTGGACAGCAAGAAATGGCTCCCGTTAGAATTTCAACACTGGAATGTTGCCGTTTACCCGTTGGTACCGCAGACAACTCATCACACGTGGTCGGTGCGTACCTATTCGAATGTTNTCGGTGCGCACCTATTCGAATGTGGAAAAACCTAGATATTTACTTATTGCCATGGGTAATGAGGACGAACACGTTCTCGGAGATTTCAATCACTGTTCATTGAGAAACGTCAAAGCGTATCTGAAAGCTGACGAATACCAGTACGAAAACCAAAACGCTGATTTCGACAACAACAAGTACACAACGTTTTACAACTCGTACGCACAATTCCAGACAATGTATTACGGTCGTAAAGACCCCTATCCCTTATTCGACTATATAAATTACAAAAATCGTGGACTTATAGTCGTGATTGATTGTTCTAAACAAAACGACACCGTCAAGTCTTCAACGCTTGATCTACGCTTGGATTTCGAATGCTGCAAACAGTTTCCCGATAAAACATCATTGTATTGTGTAATTATTCACGACTGTCAAATGGATTACAACGCATTCACGGGAGAAATACGAAAAATTTAATGTAAATACAAATTTATTTTTTATTATTGTACAATTTACAATATAGAAACAAAAAATGTATATATAACTACTATAATGTATATATACAATTTTTTTTTTTAATAAAAAAACTAGTTGTTTTGTAAACTTGTTATTTCATTTCAATCATCTTCGAATTTGACTGGAAAAGTTTCTTGTCAATTTTTGGCAAAGTATCAATTCCTAGAAATGATCTGTTTGTAGCCAATTCCACCAGATTGAAGAAGTAATAAATATGCTGAAATTTTTTTTTTTAAGTTTCAATTGAATGTTTTAATACAATCTATACATTGATGAATCGATCAAGTCGTTGATTTTATTGAATTTACACCTTGGTGTAGCCATTGTGATTAAAGTCTCAAGGTCCAATAGGCTTTACTGTCGCTGCGGTTCGCATTCGTCGTCTTTTCAATTGTTTCGATTGAATCCAAAAGTTCGTAATATATTCGCTTCACAACTGAGCATGCACATTCATGATTGTCCGAATTTTTTCCCACATCCGATAATTCACAACCTTTATAATGTAAAAAGTCTCTACCTACACCTTTGAATTTATTGCCTAGACGTTCCGCAAAATATTGTAAATCTCGATAATTTTTCAATAGTTTACTAACTAGTTTGAAAACTCTATCCGTGGGATCGTTTTCAACAAGAAAATTCAATTTATCCGATATATCATTGAAATAATCCATCTTGCGCACACAATTGATTAACAAATACTGAGAACCTGTTAGAAGTCAGCATACAATGTTATGCTGCTGCCCCCCACCCCTTTCCAAATATCTTTTAGATAATTATGGATGAGGTGTATACGACTAAGACATTAAAATATTACTAGATAAATGATTGTAATGAACACTGGCCACTACGTTATTCATACCCATGCATATAATAATATTAAGCAAAGACAAAAAATTCAGTTTTCAATCGTATATTTGATACGTCTGCATGTCTAATTTATATACGTTTTAATTATTATAGTTAAATATAGTTATTTAAAATAGCGTGAAAATTAAAGTGAAATGTTTACACATATATGTCATTAGGATTTAAAACAGATGCCTTTGTAAAAATTATAACCGTCTGCCGTCTCTAATGCGTTAACGGATGAAGAATGCAATCCGTCCAGTCGAAGCTATTATTTTATTAAAAATAATTAATTACAGTTAAATACAGTAATAATTTATAACAGTGGGAGGGATACCAGTAATAATTCAGACAAAATATATGTACGACATTAATCGATAAGTATAATACAGTTATAATAATATTATAAACATTATAATATATATGTTCCAGTGATTACGTCGTCGTCGGCGGTAGTGTTTATTTAAGAATGTGTTTTACTATAAGAAAACTTGAAAAGTCGTCATTAGTATATATTGTCTACAAAAAAATATTGATTTATTATTCACTATACGAATAACGGTCAAGCTTATGAACTCGTATATTAACAATTAATGTAATTGATGGCAACATCGCCGCCGCGTTGGGCCATCTGCTGTATTAATCTAAAGTGCTATACTGTAATCATCAATACAGCGATCTGGCACACAATGTTTCGAACTAATTTTTTTTTTCACAAATTAGGTAAAATTAGCATTTTACGTATGGACTTTATCTATTCATATGCATGTCACATATCAAAATAGCGGATTCGACGTTTAAAATTTGTACTTTTCACCGTAACCGTATAGCTTACCTAGAAAATGCATTTTTTTTTTTTTTTATTTTTTTCAAAAAACTGATATTACGTATATATGTCCGAGCATAATTTAGGCGCGTGACAAGTTGTGTTAGTTTACGTTGTGTTTCATTCCCCTCCTCTCTCTATCGTAAGACTTGATGGAGTAGGAGAGGTTCCTCACCTGCCTTAGGTTAGATTACGTTGGGTTACATCATCGTCCCGTTTGCTGTGCTCTCACTGTGGTGGAATCGGGCTCTACGGGGCTACGAGCTGCTGCAGCGGGCGCAGTTCCCTTGCTCGGGGAATCGGGCGCGTCCTCCGGTTGCGGATCGAGAAACGGCCTGTAGATATGCAGGTTAGCCGCGAAATAAGCAGTCCCCTTCTTGGGGACTGACGAATAAGCGGTCGCGGACAGCGAGCCTCTCGGACGCTCGTTAACCCTACAGATATGTAGGGTAGTCGCGAAATAAGTCACTTTATTTTAATAGGGTGGTCGAATAAGCGATAGCGTTCGAGAGAAACATAGAACTGGGTAGGCGGACCCATTAGCCTGGTAAGGCGACCGCCTAAGGGAGGACAACCCTGAAAAAAAAACTACGAGCCTGGCGGTAGGTTAAAAACGCATGGGAAGGACACCCATTAAAAAAACCCAATATGGATAGGATAACTGGAAATATTGTTACCGCCCCAGTGCTATCGGATGGCACAGGGGACGTCGGCGGGGGTTCTTGTAGCCCGGCTCTCGTTGACGCCGACCAAGGGCGATGCGATGTGGAGGCCCCACAACCCAACTTGGGTATAAATAGGAAGGGAGGATTCACCATCACCGAGGAGCTGGTGGATGAATGGGCTGATATCCGAGATAGGTATAGCAACGATATACCTCTCACGGAGTCAGAATATGTGCGCTGGGAAGAAATAAGGCGCAAGATGGAGGACGGAAGCGAGGTCGAAAACTGTTTCCCTCGTCAAAGATTCCGCAACCTAGGCGTCTTTAAGGGCGCAGTGGACACCATACTGGGGATGATGACCAGGGACGTCCAAAACGGAGGCAACTTCTCTCCGGAGCGCAAGGAGGTTTATAACCCCTTCCATGGAGTAGAAGGGGAAGAGGAGCGAGTATGCCTTATGAGTAAGTGCGTCTCCTCCCTTCGAGGCGAAAGCACGGCGGACCGTGCGATCCAAATTGCCCGGCTGGTCAGCCGGGAACTGTTGACGCGCCATAGGAAGGATCCGATGATGGAAGCAATGGGGATTGGACTCCGGGATGTCGTTGATGTGTTCGACTACGAATGCGTCGTCGCGGAAACGGCACCCGGAGTCGTGGAGGAATCGTCCGAAGGAGACAATAGTCTATCCGAGGACGAAACAATGAGGACAGGTGTTAGGCCTGGCGTGAGTGGTGTTGAGCCTTCTCTCGGGCAGGCGACGACCGCTCCTTGCCGTGAGGTCTCCCCACCTTTGAGCCCCCTGCCGGAGGAGACGCCCCCAAAGCGTTACCCCGGGAAGAGGAAGGCGCCACTTCGTAACGAAGAGAGTGATGATGAAGCGACATTCGACGTCGGATTGAATCATGTCGTCGGCCTGACCAGACAGGCCGAAGTGGAGGGTAGCCTCATGAAAGAGGTTCCAGGTACTCATCTGCAGTACTTACTGGAGCAGATATCTCTTTCTTGCCAAGCGCTGACCGAACTCCGAAGTTCGGACATGCCACGCCGTAAGAAGAGGCATGACTCCGAGGAAGAAGCAACCGCGCAATCGGCTTTGGTTGGAAACATTGCGGGACAAGTCGCAGTGCTCCGCGGAGTCATTGATAAGCGTAGAGGGATGGGCGTCCACAAGGAAGTCCAGGAGGCGACCAAGAAGCTGGAGGAAATCCTGGCTACGGAAAAGCGCAGGAGAGCGACATCGCGCTCGGGGACCATTGTAGCCTCGCCGGAAAGGGGCTCTGGTACGTTAGCTCCGGTTTTCGCGAAATGGAAGCCGACAACGGACGCGGGAACGCAAACGGCGGTTGGACCGCAAACAAACAGGCCCGGGACGTCTGATATGGCGTTGAGGAGGAATGTGGCCACACAAACAACGGAGGAGCTCCCAAATCCCAGGTCAGATCCGCTGACGAAGCCTGGGAAAAAGCGAAAGACGAAGAAGGAGAAGAGACTGAACACTGTCGAGGGTACGGCCTCCTCGCCGACCGTTACGCTTCCCGAGAAGCATTCGGATCGGGGGACTGCTGCTGCAAAGTCCGCTCCGGCGAGGGTGGACACAGGAGCGGAGACGGAGAGGCCCACTTGGACGGAGGTGGTTCGTCGCAAGGGTGAACTGGGGAAGACCGAGGAAACGGCAACTAGGCCTAGACCTCCACCGCCTACACGAGGTCCGACCGCAAAAAAGTTGCGGGCGAGGGTCCCTCGTACGGAGGCTGTGATTATCGGGCCTTTGAAGGGGGACTTGAAGTATGCCGAAGTGATGAAGACGGCGACGGCCTCCGTGGACCTTCTGGCCTTGGGTATCCAGGTGTCCGGGACCCGGAGGACTCAGACGGGGGCTGTTCTGCTGGAGGTTCGAGGAACCGCCGAGAAAGCGGATTTACTAGCCGCCAAGTTGGAGGAGGCGCTCAAAGAGAAGGACGTGCGGGTGCATCGCCCTTCGATGACCCGCACTATCATAATCAGGGATGTGGAAGACTGGCACGAAGAGGACGAGGTGCGTCGGTCCCTAAGCGACGCTCTGGAATGTCCAAGTGTTGGGCCCGTTATCATACGGCCTAACATTGGTGGCAAGGGGCGTTACGCGAGATGTGACGTGCCCGTCAAGGTTGCCATTCGGCTTACCACAGTGAGCCGAATAAAAGTCGGCTGGACAACCTGTAGACTGAGGATCATTGACAAAGGTCCTCAGTGCTACAGGTGTCTGGAGTATGGGCACATTGCCCACAGCTGTAAGGGCCCGGACAGGTCAGGGAACTGTCACAGGTGCAGAAAAGGTGGGCATATCGCTAAAGAGTGCCCATCAAGGATGGACCCAACCCATCGCAAAGTCCTGCCCCCACCTCCGCGTGGTGCAGCCCGGGCAACGGACCCACCAGTGGGGTCCGGCTAACGGGGGAGGCAGCACCGCGCTGTGATCCGGCCCCGGATTAAGTTCGGGCCGAAGCACAGCGCGGTGGCAGAAGCGTTAAAAAAGCGACATAGGCCGCCTCGAAGCAATGCTTAACGGCAGTCCCGGGGCGGTCTGCATGAAGTCGGCTGAAGGAAAAAATAAAAAAAAGATGGCCCGGGGCGAAAGGTCAGCCGCCCAAAAGGCGAAGCCTACTCCTCCACCAAAATCGGCAAGGAAGGGTCCTTCTGCGGCCCAACTAAAGGCCAAGGTGCCCCGCACGGAGGCGGTGGTGATTGGGCCACTGAAGGAGGGGCAACAGTACGCGGCCGTTATGAAAACGGCCATGGCGGCTGTTGACCTTCAGTCTTTAGGGGTCCAGGTGGCGGGCACGCGAAGGACCCAGGCTGGCGCAGTCCTATTGGAGGTAAAGGGCGTAGCCTCACACGCCGACCTCCTGGCCGCCAAGCTAAAGGAGGCCCTCAAGGAGCATGACGTGCGGGTCAGCAGGCCAACTAAGACCTACAGCGTCATGCTCCTGGACGTAGAGGAGTGGATGGAGCCGGGGGACATTAAGTCCGCCCTGGTCTCCGCCCTCCAGGCCCCAGACGGGGGCCAGGCCGAAGTTGGTGCGGTAACGGTCCGCACCAACGGAGTCGGCAAGGGCCGGTACATCAGGTGCGACCTGCCAGTCCGGCTAGCTCCACGCCTGGCGGCCCTCACGCGAATGAGTGTGGGGTGGAGCTCCTGTAGACTGAGGGTTCTTGAAGACAAGGGCCCTCAGTGCTACAGGTGCCTGGAGCGAGGGCACATTGCGGCCGCCTGTAAAGGCCCAGACCGTAAGGGTGCCTGTTTCAGGTGCCGGAGGGTGGGGCACCTGTCGAAATACTGCCCTGGTCCCCAGGCCAAGGGGAAGAAGGAAGGGGCTGCTGAGAAGCCCCGAGTCGAGTTATCGGTGGTCCAAGTGACCCCCAAGGCGTCTAGTGCGCCGCCAACCCAACGTAACCCAACCAGTGGATGAGGTTCCTTCAAACGAACCTCAACCATTGTAGGGCGGCGCAGGATCTGGTCCGGCAGGCGGTATACGAGATGCGCATCGACGTATGCGTCATCTCGGAACCGTTTGTCGGGCTGATCAAGGACGCCCCGGGGTGGTACTTGGACCGGTCCAGGAGAGCGGCGATCGGTGTGATGAACCGTGGCCTCACGATCGCGGACATCGAGGTTGGCGTTGGCTACGTAGCGGCGAGGATTGGCGGCATTGACGTCATGAGCTGCTACGCGTCGCCAAACCAGCCGATCGCCCCTATCCTGGAGGGTGTCGCCCACAGCCTAAGGGGCAAATTTCCTCGGGTCCGCGGGGTGGCAGGGACGAACTCGTCGCCGGGGACTTTAACGCTAAGTCCCCGGTATGGGGATCCGCTTCGGCGGATCGGCGTCGTGACGAACTGTTGGACGTCATGGCGGCCTTAAGGCTGTCGACGGCCAACAGGGGAACCACCCCGACGTTCGTGGGTAACACCTCGAGCTCGGTGGTGGACGTCACGCTGGCGTCGCCGTCGGTCCTCGGACGTATTGCCGGTTGGTCCGTTCTCTCCCACGTGGAGAACATGAGCGACCACCGGTACATCACGTTCGAGTGCACCGACGGCAGGCGTCCTCGGACGAGGCCGGACCTGCAGCCTCGCGGCGCTTGCGTCGGCCCGGAGTCGGACGCCGATCTATTCGCGGCCGGTCTACTGATCGCCCGATGGACGGCGCACACTCCGCCCGATCGACTGGTCTCCGCGGGCGAGGTGGCGGAAGAGCTGGACAGGAGAGTCGAAGTCGCTTGCGACTTTGCACTCCCCAGAAAGCGTCCGCCACCTACCCGAGGACCTCCCGTTCACTGGTGGAACGAGGAGGTGTCTGCCCTGAGAAGCGACTGCGTCAGGGCGAGGAGAGTCCTGACGCGATCCAACAGGCGTGGGCAGGCAGAACCCGATCCGGACAATCCGGACCCAGGGAGTTGCTGAGGGAGGCCCGGAAACGGCTGAAGCTCGCCATCAGGCGTAGCAAAGCTCGTTGCTGGGCCGACCTCGTGAAGTCGGTGGATCACGACCCTTGGGGGAAACCCTATAGGGTCGTGATGCGCAAGCTGCGCGGCCCACCGACTTCGGGGCAACTGGAGGCGGAGACGTTGGAACAGACGGTCCACGCGCTGTTCCTGACGCATCCGCCTCTCCCACCCCTGGGAGACTGGCCGTCCGTCGGTGACGACGCGACCGTCGAGGATTTCACCCTAGAGGAGATATCCGCTGCGGTAGCGAGAGTTCGGGGGAGGAACACCGCGCCCGGTCTGGACAGCATACCGAACCGGGTGTGGGGTCTCGTCAACGACCTCGCACCGCAGTGGCTGGACACCGTTTTAAACGTGTGTCTCCAAAAGGGTGAAATCCCGCCCCGGTGGAAGAGGGCGAGGTTGGTGCTCTTGCGGAAAGGCGACAAGCCCGAGGGAGTCCCCTCGTCGTACCGGCCTCTTTGCATGCTGGACGACGTGGGGAAGATCCTCGAGCGGCTGTTGGCCACCCGCATAGAGCACCACCTGGAGACGGTCGGTGGGCTGGCTGACGGCCAGTTCGGTTTCAGGAAAGGGAGGTCGACGGACGACGCGGCCTCCCTGTTGCAGCAGTTGGCCGTCAGGGCCGAGAACGGACCGGGCTTCTGCGTTGCGGTGAGCCTGGACATCCGGAACGCTTTCAACTCCGTGCGATGGTCACACATCCTCGGAGCGTTGGAAGCGTTCCGGGTGCCTCCGTACCTCCGCCGAATGATCCGGTCGTATTTCAACGACCCGGTCATCGAGTATGGGAGTGCCGCAGGGCCCAGAACCAAAACCGTGACGGGAGGCGTCCCGCAGGGTTCGGTACTTGTGCCCTTGCTGTGGAACATCGCGTTCAACGCGGTGCTCTGCATTCCGCTGCCACGGGGTACACGTGTCATCTGCTATGCGGACGACACGCTCGTGGTGGCGGAAGGCACTTCGGCGGAGGAGGCTGGTTTCCGGGCAAACGGTGCGCTCTGCGCCGTCACTGACTGGATCCAGCAGGAGGGGACCGGCTTGTGCCTAGCGCTGGACAAAACCGAAGCGGTTTTGTTCACGCCAAAGTACGAGTACGTTCCTCCTAGGCTCACCGTACTGGGGACTGATGTCCCGCTGAAGCGGACCATGAGCTATCTGGGCCTGCTCATCGACGACAGGTTGATGTTCGGGCCGCACATCGAACGTGCGGCCCAGCGGGCTCAGAAGATCATGGACCGCCTGGCGGGACTGATGCCGAATATCGGGGGACCGAGGGAACAGCGACGCCGACTGTTGGTTAGCGTCGTCCACTCGGTCCTCCTTTACGGGTCCCCGGTCTGGGCGAGTATCCTGGAGTACTCGCCCAAGAACGTAGAAGCGTTGAACCGGGTCCAGAGAAGGGCCGCTCTCCGGACGGTGTGCGCATACCGCACCGTATCCAGTTGGCGCCAACGACTGGCCGACGAGAAATCCGCGGGAGCGTGGACTAGGTCCCTTATCGGACCCAGCTNGAGTCCGCGGGAGCGTGGACTAGGTCCCTCATCGGACCCAGCCGGCTCGACAGGTGGATTGGCCGGACTCACGGGGAGATGACGTACCGTCTGACCCAAGTGATGTCCGGTCACGGCTGCTTCAACGAATACCTTCACGGTATTCGGAAGGCAGCCGCGCCGACGTGCGATCACTGTCGGGATCGCCCGGGAGAAGCGGACAATGCTCTGCATACGCTCTTCCGGTGCGAAGCGTGGGCCAACGAGCGGGAGGAGTTGGAATCCCGCTTGGGGTCCGCGTTCGGTGTGGGGTCCATGGTGGACCATATGCTGAGAAGCCGGGAGGGGTGGTCTCTGGTTCAGGCGTTCGCCGAATCAGTGATGAGCCAAAAAGAGGAGGCCGAACGTCTGAGGCAGAGACTGCCCAGGGTGGTAGTACCTGCGGCGTCAGCTAGACTGGCGCCGTAGGTGCTTGTCTTTATGTTGTATGTGTTGTTTTTATGTTTATGTATGTTTGTGATTTATTTCTGTTTGCCCAACCCTCGCAAAGTCCTGCCCCCACCTCCACGTGGTGCAACCCGGGCAACGGATCCCGACTTTTGGGATCCGGCTAACGGGGGAGGCCACACCACGTTGTGAATCAGCTCTTGATTAATTTCGGGCTGATTCACAACGTAGTGGTGTGAATTTTAGACGGCGTGGGCCGCTCTGAGGCAATACCTCACTGTAGTTCCAGGGCGGTCCACAGCATGCCGGCGGTGGAGAAATAAAAAAAAAAAGATTTAATCCCCCCCTCGTATACTTCCTCCACCACCACCGATGGATGCCGAATGGGTGAAGTAGGGGCGGGGGAACCAGCTCTCTCCAAATTACCCTACTCATATTATTATAAATATTGATTAAAAAATTACAAAAAATGTATTAATTTATTTTATTAAATAAAACTAATGTACACTTTGAGTTTAATTTGTTTCTTCGTCATCGTCGTCATTGCCTAGAGAATAATGCCCCCACGCTTTTGTATACACGTCCTTGTACTCTCCTTCGTCACCGATTAACGCCCGCTTATCGTAGTTGTTGTTGTTGACCAACGCGAGTTTATTAATTTCAACCGTCGAAACACTATGTTGTTTCGTGCGTATTACGGACATTTTCCTACGGGTTTGCTTGAGTTTACCACGCAAGCAATTCAAATAGTCAACCATTTTGATTTCATGTTTCACCACACCCGTGCTCATGCCTTTCAATCGCTTCACCTCGTCCGTTTGCCACGTAACCAACAATCTGTCGTAGTAATTTTGTATGGCTATTGAATAAGCGTACACTTTGGGTAACAATGCGATAATTTCTTGCATATGCTTACCCTTGCATTAATCAGTAAACGTGCCCGGTTGTTTTTTTTCGTCGATCGGTGTAACAAGGGTGGTCGATCGGGTAATTCGACGTGTCGA